GGATCTACAAAAACGTATCCTTCTGAGGAGGTGATGCTTAGCTCACCATTCACTGCACAGACCCAAAATCCAGATTTGCAGTGATAATATTTTGACCTAAAGGATAAACTCATTCGAAATAAAGCGTACGTAAATGACCGACGTCGTCTCCTTTGTCTATGTTGTGGTGTTGAGTTACATATATTCTCTTCAAGAAAATGCTGATCACTATCTTCATCTACATCCTGAAGACAACCAACTGATTACGACGCATTGCGTTTACGTCCACAAGTAGGGACGGCATTATTGTTTTTTCTATATACTGACATGGCTAAGGGACTTCAATCTCCCTAGAGCCAACTTCGCGGAACACACGTATGTTGGAGATGAAAACTCAACTGAAGCACGGTTCTTCAACCCCAATGAAGAATTGGGATTATACGAAAATGTAAAGTCGGCAACTCGTTGGAAAAGCAGTCAGACACCATCGCGCTGAGACTGTGTATTTATAAATGAATAATTCCTTGTTGACAACCTTTCAATCCTGGCTCCCCTGGGAAAAAGCGACTACGCCATTATAGCTTTCAGTTTCGTTAGCAAAACTGAGCTAAGATATTCCACCAACAACTTGCTCTGGAATTTCAAACAATTGAATGTGTCAGCTTTACAGGATTATCTACAACAGGTGGATTGGGATGTTCACCTTCAAATCGATGTGGATGCTCATTGGGACTTCTTACCGCACACGCTCATATGTGCTACAAATCATTCAGTTCCTCAAACGGTCCCCCATAGCTATCAGCAACCCATAATCATTAGGAACCGCACTCTTCTCCTGCTTAGACACAAAAGGCACTGATGATCAGAGTACATACGAACTGACAACAACGGAGCGTACAGGCAATACAAACATATAAGGAACATATGCACGAAGGCTATAAGAGAAGACAGGCTTCAGTGCCAGATAAAGCTTATGGATAAATTTGTCTCTAATCCGAAAAGGTTACCCCGTTATATAGCCTCCCTTCGTCAAGCCAAAACCAAAGTTTCCCAACTGCTAGGTCTTAACGGCCCAACCAATGACGACGGCGACGCCGCTAACCTTTTAGCTGAACAATATTCTCGGACATTTCAACCGACCCACATCAACTATACTGATGAAAGCTTAATCTGCAACTCCAAAGGACTTTCCGAAGTGAACCTGAGCTCTGACTTGGTGTTCCGGAAACTGCTGCACTTAAGAATAGACACTTCTCCATTCTGCCATACTGAGGGAAGCAGCCTCAATCCTGTCAACGCTGCTTAGCGTGATATTCTCACACTCGCTAAGCCGAGGAAAACTACCGGAAAATTGGAAGCTGGCTCACATTACACCAATGTTCAAAGGAGGTCGACGCAGCAAACCTTCAAGTTACCGACCGGTGGCTCTTCTCTCATTACCTTCAAAAATCATGGAGTCCCTGATATGCGATGTATAAATGACTATTTACTGTCCTCAAACTTCTTCTCACCCCAACAGCATGGTTTTAAGAATGGTTACTCCTGTATAACCAGCCTGCTGACTGAGGTGGACAGATGGACAAGCATCCTCGATCACAAGGGGAAGGCTGATATCATCTACCTAGATTTCTCAAAAGCTTTTGATAAGGTTACCCATACATGTCTTATCAATAAGCTCAAACGATTGGGTATCAGACCACCTCTAATCGATTGGTTCACTTCATATCTGAAAAATCGACACTTAAGGGTCAAGGTTAACTTCACTTAATCTCAGGCTATGGAATGTTCTAGTGAGGTCCTCCAGGGTTCAGTACTAGGACCTCCTCTCTTCTTCATTTATGTAAACAATCTTCCACAACAGGTATCGTCGGACTTTGGAGAAAGAGGTACTCACCCGAGAAGATATACTGGCACTTCAGGAGGATCTGACTCGACTTCAAAGTTGGGCAGACGATAACGGACTTAACTTTAACACTTCAAAGTGTAAAGTAGTCCATCTGCGACATGTTGCAGACTACAGTTACAACTTAGAAAACTCCTCTTTGAAAGTTTCCCAAGTTGAAAAAGATTTAGGAGTCCTGGTACCCTATGATTTGAAGTCTTACGCTAGCTGTGACAAAAATGCCACTCGAGTAAACCTTGCACTGGTAACATTGAAGCGCATTTTTGGCCAGTTTGACAGAAAAACTTTCCACATAATCTTCAACAGTTTTATTCGTCCTCATTTAGAGTAAGGAAACATAGTATTTCCTTCCTCACTCCAAAAGAATAAGGGCACTGCGAAACGTATCCAACGGCGAGCCACGAAATCAGTTCAAGGACTCAAATTTAAACTTTACGATGAGCGCCTCCAATCACTTAACTTTTACCCATTAGGGTATAGATGTCTTAAAGGTGACCTTCTGATGGCTCAAAGTACCTTTAACACTTTTGGACATCCTCTTAAACACCTACTTAAGCTTAGTTCCAACACAAACCTAAGGGTAACACCCAGAAATTGGAGACACAACATAGCAGAATGGACTGTAGACACAACTTCTACTCCTTAAGAGTTGTCAAATGCTGGAATTTGCTACCGGCCGAGCTAGTCCAAGCGCCTTCTTAGAAGTCATTTAAGAGGCGACTTGATCTACTCTTAATGATTAAGGATAGTACCATACTATAATTTGCCAATTTCTTTCTCCTCTTTTAGTGTTAACATACCTAGGTTCCTGCCTGGAAGTTTTAGTGGTCCCCTGCTACTAGACGCGGAAGCCTGTTAAGCGAGAGCTTCTTCTATTCCATCCGCAACCATTTGAACCATTAAGTGTGCCCATATTTTAAACATAATTACAAACAACAGAAATCCTATTACCTTATATACTTCTTTCAAACAGGTCTCTAAATTGTCCCAACTGGTAAATTGCCGCGACAATATAATATCACTTAAGATTTGGCCCATATCATGCATCATCACGATGGCATCGTCTTCGTTACTTGAAGAATGAACGTTATCAGACATGGTGTGGCTTAACTCAATTCAAATCTAAAAATGTCTTGATTTGACCGCTTCTGAAAATTTTCACGAATTGTCGATGTGACGCATCAATCATCTTGCGACAGTTTGACCTTCAAAAGCTCGACTGTAGTCGGATCCATTAATTCACCTTTAGTTGCACATTGTTTTTGACTGAAACCTGTTTTTAGACAGTATTTGAAGATAATACTGTTGGAAGTGTGCTATTAGCTTGCGGTACAGTAATTCAGTCTTTAAAACAAACCATCTTTTACAGTTTGGTGGCGAGACTATTGAAGATGCTACGGGTATTTGGAGTTTGACAACGATTTAGCCAGTAACACGTAATATGAATCGCATCCACCAAGTAAAATCAAAGAACAGAAGCGATCGGGTTCGAAGATATATTTGGTAGGTTATCAATATATCGAGGATCGACTGATCTAGGTCATTAAACGATTGCAGGGGATGTTGAGCACGGCGTTCCCACTCGTGATGTGGTGCGGATGCATGACCGAGTTCCTTCAGCTAGGTGAGTCCATTAGAACTAATGTGGTCAGCATCCATTGTCGAAGACTTAAAGGGCTATTTATTTTGAGGATTTATTTACCACTACACTATGACTTATGTGGGTCTTGGATATTGGCGCGAAATTCGTCCACTAATCTGATTAAATTCAGTTGTAGTCCTCGTGCTCACTTACTCCTAGTAAGTAGGTGAGCACTTCAGGGTCATTTAGGCGTTGTTCAAAGGTCGTCCATGAATTATTCTCTTACCGTTTTCTGTCATGGAATCAAGCTTTAGATTCAGTAGATTAGTTGACGTGTCTATTTGTTGTTGCTTCAGTATTTTCATAGTTATGGCTGAATTTCCACGATAAATTATAGGTTAATCTGGTATGAAATCCGTTTGTATTTTTACGATTTCAGTCGTGGATTAATCCACTAATTGTCGGATAACTAAGTTACCAAAATTTAAATGTCAGTCAACATAGTATGAAGCTATTTATAGATGTGTGTATTGAGATGTCGTTTTGAATTCAATCTAGCGTATAGGCGTGAATGAATCATTCATATGCCCCCTTGTACTCATCAATCTTAACATAGCCCTTAATAAATCTGAACATATATGTACGCATGAACCACAATTATAACGCTAAATATCAAAAGTGTTTTAATGATACATGACTAGATTTTGACAATCTATGATCCTAGTTTTTTCCTGGATACTTTACTGATAGGTGACGTAGTTAATACTTAGTTTTGTAGGGACTGTTGCTGGACTTGAATATAATTCTTGATCAGTTTGTTAGCGGAGTATCGAAGTGGTAATCCCACTTTATGTTCGAAGTTGCGAATATTAAAAAATCGATTTATTTAACTGGAAAACCTAACGAGTTAAATCCATCTTTCGGATTAACTGTGGATAAGAAATGGATAAGCCATTAAAGTATCCAACATATCGAAAATCAGAGGTGGAAATATGTTGTCTCATCGTTTCTTTTCGAAACTAACAAAATTTTCCCACTAAAACTCATTTTGAGATTTCTCGCTATTGTACTGCTATTTTTACTTTCAGGAATCCTCACTTAATTGTTAGTTCGACCTACTGTTAAAGCTGTTCAGAAATTCAGTGCTTAATACGCAGTTAATCAATAACAATTTGGAGAATATTGAAGTTCAAGTTAATAAACTCATTTAAAAGAGCCTTCACATATTCCCTTTGGACTAGCTGGGTATGTAACCCATGTTAAAATCTACTAAATTCTACGCAAAAGTAGTCATCACTGTTGACGTGTTTGTAGCGGCAGTATACTTTTCATTTTTCCATTATCCATCTTTGGAGCTGTAACTAATGATAAAGGTGCTCGTCCATATTTTTCCAAAGAGGAAAAATACATGTTTATTCGGAGTGTACCTTACTACAAAATAGTAAAGCAAATGACAGATCATAACGAGAAGTTTAAGGTATTGCAGGGAGAAGTTAATGATGGTGATTAAGTAGACACATAAATATACAGCTATATATGGTAGGTTATCAAAGGTTATTTATGTTTTCTGTTTTGTTCATTTAATTGTATTAGGCATGTGTTTTAAAAATCTAACTCCGCACTCTATTTGCTAACCATCCAAATTAATTTACTTATTCGTATTAAGTGGTAAGTTAACGCTTTAACTCGCACTTATTATCCGGAGGACGCAAGGAAAACCATAAAGTTTTGTCGTCCCGTAAGGCAAGTTATCAGTATTTATAAAAAAGACCGAGTCCACTTAATTAGGTTACCTAATATTAACACAAATGACATTTAATGATTAAAAAGGTCGGGGTTTTACAATAAGTGAGGAGCGACAACAGGAAACAATGGTCCACAAAGATGTCTAACTGTCGGTCTAACCCCATGTATTTTAGAAGCAAACTTTTTGGCTAGGATTTACGGAATGACCTTAACTAATCTATAATAATTTAAATGATATGAATTAAAATAGATTATGTATTTCTTTTAACCCTAAATATACTACTCCGTGGTTTTTATATCCATGTTTTAGAGAATACTCCTGTGTTATAGTGATACACGTTTGGATTCTTAAGATATTAAGAAGTGCACGTCAGTAAACGCGATTTCCAATGATACAGTGTTACCAACTGATAAGCAGACACAACGACGATTTATTGAAAAAAGCCTACATAAGGAGTGTCTTTAATGAAGTTGGAAAGGCCGTAGCGAGTCTAAAGTGCAAGGGGGTAGCTAGATTTGACACTGGAGACTTTCAAGGATTGTGGTCCAGGTTTAACAGTTGTCCTGAGTCAAATATTAGTTAGAGCCCGGTCACTGACCGTAATCCTACTTGATTGATCTTGATCGCTGTTCGTCTTGGTTTACAAGAACAGACAAAATCCCTCATGATAAGCACAAAAGAATAAGTTTGACCAATATAGTGTCTAAAGCGTTAGTCTCAGTAATCATCCAACTGTTAATTAGGGCTTGTAAGTAGCAAATTTGAGTAAGCAAGACTGGCTTCAGAACTGGACGCAGATCTATCTATCAAATATTTGCCTATTTTCAGGTTCTCATTGTTCAGGAATAGTGATATCTCTTGGCCTAAAGGTAGCATTCAACTCTGAGTTTTATTGTACTTTTTGTAATCAAGAAATGTGCTGAAGAGGTAAATAATCTATGAAAGATATTTTGCTGGAACACTACTGACCCATTTAGTGGTTATGGTGAACTGTCATCTGAAATGGCTACGTCAAGTTGTATTCGTCAAGACTAAATAACATTGTTAAGCTTCATCGCAGACATCATTTAAGTAAACACTTCGTCTGAATTTCCAGGATTAATCTAATCAAATAATTTACTTATCAAATAACGATAAGAAGATGATAAAGGTCCGTTTGTTGAACGCCTCAAGCATCAATGCAAGAGTATTTAACAGGCGTCTCTCATTTTATATACTAGATTTTCCTTCAAGACTAGTCTGCATCAGCGCCTAGATTGATGTAAGTGAATGAACTTATCGAGGCTGTTGATCGCCGTACTTAGGGGTCTCTTTAGCTCTGATGGGTTACTTACTTAATTGCTCCTGTTACCCTTCATAAAGGAGCATAGGCTGCCCATCAGCATTCTCCACCCAACTCTGTCCTCGACAACCCTTTCCAGTTGTGATTCGTCCTTATCATATCTGCTTCCGTTTCCCGACATAGTGTGTTCTTTGGTATTCCTCTTTTCCGTTTTCATTCAGGATTCCAAGTTAGAGCTTGCCTCGTGATGCAGTTTGATGATTTCCTCAATGTATGTTCTATCCACTTCTAACGTCTTTGCTTAATTTCCTCTTCAGTTGGAAGTTGGTTTGTTCTCTCTCACAGTAGACTGTTGCTGATGGTATCCAACCAATGCACATTGAGTGTTTTGCGTAAACAATTGTTTATAAATACTTGTACATTTTTGATGATGTTTGTGGTAGTTCTACAAGTTCCAGCTCCGTACAGTAGAACTGTCTTGACGTTCGTATTGAGGATCCTGACTTTGATATTGGTTGACAGTTGTTTTGAGTTCTATATGTTCTTCACCTGGCAGGTAAGCATCTAATAAAATCTTGTTATGAAATCAAAATGCTCTTTTAACTGTTTCAAACTTGCGTCACCTGTGGCAGAAGCTTGATGTCTGTATGACCATTAAAAACAGAATATGCTGCATAGCAGTTTCGTCTTAGTGTTTGTGGTTATGAAACGCTTTTAAAAGTAGAGGACGTTAGTAGTCCACTTGTGTTGGATCATGAAGGCCTTCAAGAAAAACTGAGACCACTAAGTAGTGTTGACGTTCGACGTAACTACCTGACAGGTGGCTTAGCAATCGGCAAGATTATCAGTCTTCATCAACTTAACTGGTTGGGAACATATGTTACCGTCTACTACGCTTTATTTTGCCTGACTTAAGAGTAGGTTGAATTACCGTGATAGTTTATCTATCTGGGGTCCTCGCGACTACCCTAATCAAAAATTAGAGACGCTGAGCAAAATGGCTAGGATCCAGTTATGTGTCGCAGATGTATATACTCCTCGTCTTCCTTAGATCCTGAATTTTAAAGTTATTTTTAACTTTTATTACTCAAACTCAGTCTTTTCTCTCCATACCTGCTTTTTAATATCACTGACTACCACTACTAATGCCGCTACTACTATCTCGATTTCATCTCGCTGCACTGATGCACGACAACCTAGAACGATGCACATACGTACCAGGTTCTACTTTACATATGGCTGACTGATTTCATTAGGTTAATAAAAGACATCAATTTAAGTTCAACGCACGTAGTTTATTTTTACGTTGAGTCTTTATCCAAGTTTGCTTAATTTAAAGGGACTATTGATAATATATCCAGTCGAACTAATAGAAGTAATATTCCCACCTTGAAGTATTATTGCCATAATCATTACTGTTACTACAATTTGAGTTGGTTCACCATTGTTTTTGTTATCACTAACGGTTTATTATCATTTTGTTCATCCTATTGATAAGAAGTTGTACATGTTTTATGTGGGTGATTACTCCACAATCTCTTTCGTTAAGTCATCACAGAGTCAGTCAGCTACAACGTAGGCCACGCACATATACGCATCGGCCCAAGTTGCCATAACTCATTAGCACAACAAGATGAGCACCAATTTCATAGAAGTAGTTACTTCAGTGGTAGTAATATATAAAAGAAAGATTGTGTATATGGACATAGTAAAGAAAGAATTAGTTTTAATCTCATGGTTTAAGGGAAGACAAAGAGTGTGTACACCTACGCCATTGTCATCGATCGTGAGCCATGTCAGCCAGAGTCCTCAACCAATGGTTACGATAGTCACGCAGACCCCAACAAAGTAGTCTGCATCTGCCAACATGGCTTAGACCAGAAGTTAGTGACTTCAATGACTGATGCCATGTTTTGGTTCGGCCACCCCTAACTTTCTTCCAACCCAAGGGAGACAAAACCACTTTTTATGAAGAAAGTAAAAGAAGGTTACAGCAGGATCGCCATTGGCTTCTATTCTGAGCCATACCTGATAACGTCTCTAGCCACTGTGTAGCACCATCTCTCGGACACCAGCCAGAGAGTCGTGAAGGAACAACAGAAGCCAGCCCTTTGTAGCTTTCTTTCATGCCACGACACCATGTCATGCACTGACCACCTCTCCGCTTCTTCCAACCAGTCCCAGAGTCGGCAAATAATGCACGACGTGGAATTCTCTGGGATGACATTCGTAGAACATGTCCAAGCCACCGAAGTCGGTGTTTCAACATGGTGACACCAATTGAATTATCATCTCTGTGCCCGAACACACGATGCCGAACCTCTGCATTACTAACATGGTGTTGCCACTGGATGTCAGCAATCCTTCGGAGACAACGATGATCTAACACAGAGAGTCGTCTAACGTCCTCAACTCGGAGAGACCAGGTTTCACAAGCATAGAGCAAAACTGCTCTCACGGACGCGTTGTAGATCCGACCTTTTACAGCCAGACTAACATCACAAAGGCGCCAAAGGTGGCCCAGATTGGCATAAGCCGCTCTGGCTTTCACTATTCGTGTATTGATCTCATCACTCACACCCCCACCAGCACTTATGATGCTACCCAGATACACGAACTTCTCGACTACTTCTATCTGCTCACCATCCAGGGTGAGTACAGGATTGGAATCCTGCCAGTCTTGTAGAAGTACTTTGCACTTCGAAGGTGCAAAGCACATACCATACCTACGGACACTGATTGCCAGCTGATTAAGTGCGGATTGCATGGCTTGGGCATTATCGCACAGTAAGACAATATCGTCCGCATACTCAAGGTCGAGAAGTCTTTCTCTAGGCAACAGATCCACACCACCATTACTTACATTCATCAGAGCTGTTTCCAGAATGTCATCGATGGCAAAGTTAAAGAGGAATGGTGAGATTGGGCAACCCTGCCTAACCCCACTGCTCGAATGGAACAATGGAGAAAGGTGGTTGTATGCCCTCACTCTGCCTGAGGTGTTTTTATATAGGGCTTTTAGGATGTTAATAAACTTCTCAGGCACACCCTTCTTCAATAGACAATCCCAGAGAACAGTCCTGTCCAACGAATCGAAGGCAGCCCTGATGTCAAGAAACACCACGATTGTTGGCCTTTGATAAGTATGGCGGTGTCCTAACATTTGGCGAAGGGTGAATATATGATCAATACATCCTCGAACAGAACGAAACAGCCTGATCCTCGTGAGTCAATCTTTCTCGGGTTTTGAACAACCTACGAAGTATGACGGAAGCCAATAGCTTGGACGCAATCGGAAGTAAACTTATCCCCCGATAGTTGTTACAAGAACGACGTGAACCCTTTTTAAAGATAGGGACAACTATCGACTCATTCCATGACGTTGGTACACTCTCTAGTTCCCAAACCTTTGTAAACAACGTCGTCAATTCCTTAGTCAGAAAGTCACCACCATCTTTAAAAAGAGCCGGAGGTAAGTCATCTGTGCCAGGTGATTTGTAACGCTTCAAG